AAATTAAAATTAAGTTAGTAGTAGTAGTAGTTAAGTTAATAATAACTAAACGAAAAGAAAATTAAAGTAAAGTAAGAGTAGTAGTAGTCTACTGTGTATATAATATATATATATATATATATATATATATATATATACACACCTGTGTACCTTACATATATAAGACTGACAAACAACACTGCATGCATTTTGTTATTTATTCCATAGCAATAACTAATGTAGGACATGAACCACTGTGCTACACTGCCCATATAAATGAAGTATAGGGCAAGTAGTTTCATACAGTATGTACTCATACTCTCACTACTACTACTACTACTACACACACACACACACACACATTCTCACGGATGGGACAAATAGCAGTTTTGGTCAGATATATGAATCTTGCAATCAGTCTGATTTAGACAGTAGATGTGGCTATACATATTGAATATATGCAGCAGGCATCAGCTACCAGTTCATTGCAATACAATATTAAACTAGTTATTTTGTCATTACTTTTTGAAAATTCAATTACGATGTACAGTTCTGCATGACTAATCATCCACTGTAGGAATGTGGCACATGGTGGCATAAGACAGCTTTAAGCTACCGGTGAAGCTGATCTTTATCATATGCTTGCTGTTACTGCCATTCCCATGACTACCTCCAGCATAAAGTGGCAAAACAATGGGTGTACATAATTTTTTTATTTAAACTATACAATAACTACCACAGTTCCCACTCTTTAAAGCAGGGACAATGCCACTATGTTTAAAAGCATGTAGAATGCACTAACGGATTAGGTGATGCAACAACTATTATGTCACACACATACAAGTAGTATCATGCCTGCATAATACTGTTAGATTATCTGCTAATGGAAATTTGATTAGATTTCATGAAATAGTGCATTATTAAATATCTGTCCCATCTCTAAAACACACACACAGACAAGTACATATACACACACACACACACATATATATATGTGAGAGAGAGAGAGTACAGGCAGATAGTGTACAAAATCATTTACCCTAAACAAGTAAATAAAAGAACACTTACCATTCCATAACAACAAGTAAACACTTCTGACCACCATAGGCATTTTCATATACAGCAATAATATTAACAATATGGACACTATTGCTTGCCCTCCAATGAAGTTCTATCTCTCTTCGAGATTTAGGGTTATCTTTTAATACCTGTAATATGGGAAGACATATTTATCTTCAACATCTGTGAACAAACTGGGTTTAAACATAGCACAAATGAACAAACTCATTTCATACAAGCTATGTAGTTCTTGTTCAGTGTTTCACTTAAACAATAAAAAACTTCAAACACATCAATTATTAATTATCATCGGTTTAAATTATCAACAACTAGCTGAATGCCCGTTATATTATAGTAAATGCTGATTAATTTTTCCTCTGAAATTTAAATCTAAATAAATGTTTATGAACGTGTTTTCTAAAGATTAATTATATTATACTAATAACATATGATAAAGAACATTTCTCCTTCTTGATAAAGCCTTTTAGATTAAACCATGTTAAAAAACTGGTTCTCGAAGATAAACTCCTACATGATCAATTGTCTAACCCTGCAATTCATTAGCTGTGATGTCAAAGAATTTGAGAGTGAAGGACAAATGAACAAAAGCATAACCTTTCATAAAAAAAATTGTTATTAAAAATTTGACTAAATCTTTTAAAATCTTTTACTCGTTTGAAAAACCTCAATAATAATAATAATAATGTATTGTAGCACCATCTATTAGGCTAAAAAGATATTTAGGTTGTGTTTATGTGTAATATGCTCCCCAATTTAATCTATAACAGTGTTTATATTTCTCCAAATATTCAAAGAGCTTGCTCTAAATATATTTAAAAAATAAAATCCCAACTCAGCGGATAGTCAAGCGCTATAATCATTGTGACATCCAGTCTTTGTAATCAAATGTTAACATATAATTCAAATTATCATGTTAATCTGGTTTTCCTAATATTGTAATATCTTGTTCTAAACACAATGAGTTAATAATTAAAAAAAAAGTTATATAAAATCCACACTTGACTGGCATTTGAACTTGAGACTTCTGCTCGAGATAAACAATTGACCTAATTTGAATGTTACCAATAGAGTCGAGTATTACAAACAGAGGATGACTTTATATAAAGGTGTATTCGATAGTGTAAAAAAAAAATTAGAAAAATACACAATGTTCATACAGATCTTTCACTTTTTTTAAAAAAATGTTTAATTACAGCCACTATTATATCTTTCACCTACAATGAATAATTCCCCATGTGTCTAACATTAGGTAAAACTACAAATGCTCAAGGATTTCTCTCCACTTTTCAAAATGCACTTTGTATTGGCTCTTTGTACAAGTTTGTGTCTTTTTTTTATATCTTTCACCTACAATGAATAATTTCCCATGTGCCTAACATTAGGTAAAACTATAAATGCTCAAGGATTTCTCTCCACTTTTCAAAATGCACTTTGTATTGGCTCTTTGTACAAGTTTCTGTCCTTAATAATGATGAAACGTCATAGAAGAGTTAAAAAAAAAATTCCAGTTAAATATGTAATCCAAAATTTTGCATAATTTCCAAAAACTTTTAATCCAAAACTCTATTGTTTTTTGTCAGAATTTTAAATACCATGTTTTTATGAATAACTTCTGATCAAAGTGAGCTAAGCACATTGAAACTATAAATCAAACGAGTAATTAATGTAGTTAATTTTATGTTTAAAGTTTAAATAACAACAATCATTTAAACTTGGATAGTTAAATTCATGATCAAACTTTATGTTAGTGTTGTTATTATTACTTTCTTTTGCAATTAAAATCATTTGCCATGTAACTAATTGCATGTACTTATTCTTACTGCACAATCAAAATATCACAATTTGTTCTTTCAGTGTCAAAAAAAAAAAACAATCCAAAATAATGTTTAATATATAAAATTCATTATTCAGAAGAGAATAATTTGACTGGTGGAGGAAAAAGACTGAAGAGGCATTTGGCCCAAGAAAATTATGTCATATACATAATTGATTCTAAATGTACAAGCAGTGAAACTAGCACACAGTTTGTGATTTACCTATACAATTCTAAAATAACTATTTCTATATTAAAAACACACATGCATGATAAGTAGAAAACATACTGCCAGAACAACTTACAGTAACAAAGATGAAACTGGTTATTACTGCTTAGAAACTGGTTACGTTTCAACACATCTATCAATGAATGTGCACATTTAAAAACCATATAGATATCACCATGATGAACAGTAACTTGATTTTGCTGTTATGCATGATTAAATAAAAATAAGGAACTTTGGTTCATTCTAAGGCAGAACTTGTATATTTACTACAGTTTCAGAGTTTTGATAACTAATTTTATACATAAGCTTTGTTCTATATTGTAATGTAAAAGAAACTCTCTTAAAACTAATATTTGAAAGGAATAATATTAAAAAGTAAAGAATGCACAGGACAAACATTTTACTTGAGGAAATTAAATTCTATATTAAAATTGCCAATGTCTTTACAAAGCTACTTTAAATATTAATTATCATCATCACACAACTGTTACCATATTCATATCAAAGTACTGAGATACAAAACAAATTGAACTGTAGAAATTTTTCTTCTTCTTATAATACTTCAGCAAATTAAATTAACTAGAATTACACAAAGTAATAAGAACAGCTATTAACATGCAGAATATCTATTTAGGTTGACAGATTTTTTGTTACTAATACATATCAACACTATGACTTATCATAAAGGATAGTAATATGAGCTCAAGGAAGAGCTATTTATCTTTTTCAACCCAAGGCAGTTTGTGTGTATTTTTTCAAGTAGCTCATAATTGGTCATGCATGTTACATAAATAATTGTAACAAAACTTTAAAGGTAAAGCAAAAGCAATATCTTCAAATAAAATTACTATATAGTAATTAACCTCATGTGAAATTACATTTTACAAATACCATGACATATATTAATAGTCAATAAAACAAACACTATTCTTCAAGATACATGACAAGACCATGTGAATTAATCTCAAATGGAATTTTCCTGTCATTTCATCTTTTATGCTGAATCATTGGAGCTGCATGTGTCAAGCCAGAACATAAACCAGATCAACACTGGATAAGAACAGAAAGCTTGTGTACCAATAAAGAAAACCCACCACACCACTCACATATTTGTATATGATTAGGTTAAAGGACCTACTAAAACCTGGCATTAACATGTTACAAGAATTCCTCCACTGCATGTGTACTAGCTTTTGGAAAGTTAACAGCAATATTAGTAATATAACACATAAAAAGAATTGTAAGTCTAGAAACATTTTGAATGAGACTTAGCCTGCACCATGATGACAAAGGCAACCTGAACCTTGCTTTGTTCTCTCCGATCTTGAATACATTTATACACTAAAGCTAACATGTCAATATTTCAATCACAACTTACCATTCCTTTTAAAAAGTAACACATTATATTGATGACAATGTTTCTCTTGGAAAATTGATTTCTTACATACTTTTGTGTGTTTGGTAGTTAAATAGCCTTGTATGCATATAGTCAAAATTTTTAATAATAATAACAACAATAACAGTACAAAACAATGTACTGTAAAAAAAATCAAATTCATACTTGTAAAACAAGCAGCAATGAGTGAACTACATACATTCATTTTTTATGGCATGAACACATCTTATAAGAAAAGTGAAGATCACCTTAATACAGAAGTTCAACTATCAATAAAAATATTTAGAACTAAATCTTTATTCACTAAAATTTTTTATTAAAAACTTTCACTGCTACACACTATGCATTTGTTTTCTTTAAAAAAAAAAAATCAAGTACACTGTAATTTATGAATTTTAACTAAAGTTTTAGGAATTTATAACAAAATATATTTTCAA